GGTCATAAAATCCTAAAAGCTTCCAAACGCTTCCACTTTTCTGACAGTCATCAAACCAAACGCGTCGCTCCCGCAGCTCCGAGTCATTTGTTTTGCGTTTTCAGTTTTATGGAGATACTTGGTCAAGGAGGCGCATGCACTTGTAAGAGCATAGACTTTTTATGACACAAACCTATATGCCAAAACAATGAATTCCTCTCCACCCCCCACCCTCCTGGGAGAATGTGATTTTACATGCAATCCGAGCCTGAAGTGTGTGCGGACAGTGGTGGGGGGAGGGCTCTCTTCACCTTTCACCCTGCCGTGTTGGGACTGTTTGTATTTTTTTTTCTTCCTAGGGCCCCTGTGCTACTCGCCGACCAGAGAAGAGACCATGGCTAAATACTGATGGGTCTGAATGTGGTGTGACCATGGTGTGAACATTATGGCTCCGGAGTGTTGTTCAATTTTTACTGTACAGGTCATTTCAGTGTTTGCAACCTTTCATTTCACACTTTCCCACACCAGGAATTCTAACAGCAGAAGAAAACGACCTAAAGTTTCTTTTGGAATAGCTGACGAAAGTGGTTACAATCGTTCCCACACATCATATCAAAAAGATATAGTGTGTTGAACAATTGGAACCACTTTTTATTAATATAAGACACAGATGGGGATACACGGTCTGTCAGAACCTTTACAACATATATTCAATCTAACATAAAGCCCAAGTATACTATAGTGATAAAAATACAACTTAAGATATCTAAAGCCTGGTATATGGCCTATAATCACTGCCCAAACGAATATCCGGCTCTGTTGAATTTAATAATGTTATTTTAATGTAAGGGAGTTGGACACACAATGCAAATATGAATTCAAGGATGTTTCAAGGATGTTTGAATCCAGCACACATGAAGGGATGAAGAACTTGTGCATGTGTGTGTTGCTTACTCACTGCTTTGTCTCTGAAACAATGTCTTCATTGTTTCAATTTAATTATACACTTAAAGAATAATAGTTGGGCTGTACATTTTGGGATAGACTGATCAAATATGTCACACAACATATATGTTCTTGAACTTAACACAAACAATGTTATGCTGTTTGTTTTGTTTAACAAAACCATATATAGTTTACATTCTACAAGACACCTATGAAAAACAGTCCTAGTTGATTTGAAAACAAACATATGGCAACAGTTTGAGAAAACAATTGCTTCAAAATAAAAGTCCTATACTTAGCTGTCAGTAGTCATTTGTTTAAGCTTATGAGCTAAGTCTCTGACAACATTCCTTCCAGAGTGTTATAGTTTTTTGCAGAGTTCCCCTGCAACACACACACACACACACACACATGCAAACACACGCACACACACAGGATGCAAGGCTTCAGAAGCAAAATTTAGATTTTATTACTGGTGTGATGTTTCTAACAAACATTCCTTGCACCTGGGTAGAAAACTAGAGCCTTTAAAGACATTGAGTAATGAAGGCAATGTATAAAGAGCAGTAACCATTAGACAAAATAAATAAATAACAAGCAATTAAATATGTTCAACACCTTTTTGCCATTTTTAGATGCAGCTTCCATAGACGTCTGTGTGTGTGGGGGCTGCTTTTCCTAATGTTGTCTTTCCTCCCAATGTATTTTACGCGTTCCTCATCCTGCACAGAGACCACAAAACTTCACTCAGCCTATGAAAACATGCCCATGAGAGCCTACTGACTTTTTAAATCCAAAGAGCTGTGGAGTCACATTTCTGAATATTAAATGTAGACCAAAAAAAAAAAAAAAGATTAACAAAAGCATATAAGGGAATATGAATGAGCATACTGCAGGAGGGCCAATTATCCTTCTATTTCAATACATTGCTTCTATATAGTTCTCTTAAACGCTTGCAAACTGCAAAATCAATGAAATGAGAAAAAATGCAATCAAGCATGTTAGTCGAGGATGTTGTTTCTCTGCTTTCTCTCACCCAGGTCAAACTTTACCACTGTGCAAGTGAAATAAGCTACCATACCGTAGATAATATATTTCGGCACAATGCTTGAAAACCTTGGCATACATGTTTCTTCAGTGTGTAAAATCTTAACTATGTCTTTTATGTGACAAATCAATATGTTGAGACAAGACAGCTACTTTTTCCAAACAGATCAAGGGCTGTAGCAGAAATGCTGTTGCGTGTTCGTTGTTAGTTGTTGGAAATCAGATGGTGTCACTGCAAGAGAAAACTCTTCTCTGACATCTCGAGGAACACAACGTGATTCGTTCAGACTTTGACTTAATCAAGTGCAAGTTGTAAAAATCATTTGCCATTTTCAGTGTTTCAGTAGCTATATGGGCCCCTCCACAACCACTGCCCCCTCCTTTTGCCTCCCTTTGTTCTCTCCAGCTCTAATAGGTTTTCCCCTGCCACACACAATTCACTTTTTTTTTCTCCCTTTTCCCCCAGCTCCCCATCCCTCCCACACCCCCTTTTAGTGCAGTGCCCAGTGTCGACTGGAGCATTTGAGCAATTTGAAATTAAAGCAAACAATGGGCAGGCACTCCCAGGGACCTCTCGCTCACCATATTACACGGAGGACGCTCGTGTGCTCTTGCGCATTATTGGCAAGTCATTACGTTTCTCTGGAAACCAAGAGCGGGAGCTTGCTCAGAGGAATCGGTGATGCAAGCAGCAGCTGAGTGCTTGGAATAGCATTTGTGTGTGTGTGTGTGTGTGTGTGTGTGTGTGTGTTCTGAAGCATCCTTGGCAACAGCATGGGGATGCTGTCAAAACAAAACTGTATATTGACAGGTCTGATATGCACCCTGATATAGGATTCTCAAAGCCCATTTAGTAATTTTTGAAAGATAAAAGGGGCATTCATTCTTAAAATGAAAAGCTATTCATGTTGCTGTCTCTCATGTCTACCGGCTCTATGCTCACCAGGCCTACACATTCTCCTACCATTCTAAATCATGTTGAAATGGCATGGCGAAAAACATGAAATATTTGAGTTACTTGAAAATGATGAGTTCCAACCCAAGCTGTTGATTGTACAGAGATGTAGGTATTTATGATTCAATTTTTTTTCTACATGAGCCGTTTTGTTTGTTAGGGAAATTTTGCTTAAAATTCCTAACAACCATTAGTTGTCATTGACTTCAAAACTGTTAAAAATGTTGTTTAAAAAGCTGTTGTTTGTACTATTTTGTGCTGTAATGGACATTATAGTTATAAATGTCATGTTTGTTTTTATCATCAAATTATTGTAATGCTGTATTTAATTAATTAAGTGGGATGCAATACAACACCTACAAGACCAACCTTTATGGATGCATTTGACATCTGGAAAACATTCTGCATTACAGCTTGAAAATTAATTATTAAGCCTCGAGCATTAGTCTGCCCAGAGTAAAGCTAGTGATGTGACCAGGATCCAAATGGCTTATTACAGGAGAGGATACAGTAAAACTCAAATGGAGACTGCAATAACTGATATGTGTCAGTGTTGAACCATCTAAACCAAGGTGTGTACACACATATTGTATCCAGGCCTGCAACGATTATTTTCATTACATTTTCTGCCAATCAGTTTCGCAATTAATTGGTTAATTTTTCATTCTGTAAAATCAGTGGATTGCAGCTATAGGGATTGTCACACTCACCCTTGTTTATTTTCTAAGGAAATATAAAAAAATAAAATAAAATGCTCATTTATATTTCCCAGAACCAGAAGTTGACTTACACGTGTCTTGTTTTGTTCAAAATTCAGTCCTGAACCCAACATGATAACTAAATAGTAAAACTAGAATGGTGCACTCAGTGTAGTGCAGATGTTCACCAGGCATATCTGCAACAACCACTGCTGTAGTGTTTGATTGAATGAATACAACACAAAATTGGCTAACATCCTGTCTAGGCTGCAAGTGTATCAGAAGTGCTTTTCACTTGCACTTCTCACAACAGATATACTCCCATTTTCATGGTGTCTGCACCGCATCTCAGCTCCGTCTCTTGGGGCGTAACTGCGACTTGAAGCCCATAGCAATTCTACCGTAATTCTGTTAGCTGTTATGCACTCAGCTGTGTACTGGTAGTTTCGTTACCTGTTGTCTGACAGTCAAACACACCGTCCAAAACAATAAAAGTGAGCAAATTGTGGCGATGCACTCAGCTGTGTGTGTATTACACTTGCGGCTCCTGTACCTGCCGGTTTAAAGTAGTGAGTGAGGAGTCAGCAGTCAATCAATGGCCGTATCAAACAGATATTATACATTTTTTTGAGAAAGTGTGAGTTATAAGCGCCTTACATACACTGTATTCAGCCTCGCTGTTCTGTTTGAAAGGTGCGGAGGTGGCATAGAGGGAGCCGAACCTGACATGAGCCGAACCTGTGTGAAAGTGACAGCCATGCAGGCCGAACGACTGTGATGCTATGATGAAATGCTATTTGTGCACCCCAACCACCGGGAGATTTAAAAAACAAACAACCAAAAAAACTTGAGAATAATTTTGCTTAAAATGACTTATTTGATTTTCTCAAATTTGTTGTCAATTCATTTCATCGTTAATCGATTATTCGACTAATCAATCCAACTCTAAATTAAGCTATTGCGTAAAATAATCTAACATGATCCTCACACTGAAAGTAAAACCTCAGAACTTGGTGCAAGAGATATTCACATTTATTTTCAATGCAGCTCTGCTCTATGCATCACAATCTCATCTTAGTCCCCTCAGCAGATCAAGAATGAAGTTACAGTCCTTGCTGTAAACATTTTTTTTAAAGTCAACATTCACATCTGTTTCCTAAATATTCTGCTTTTAATAGTTATTTAGCAATTAACCACATATTTGCCTCCCTCCATGTTGCAACTATGTTGCCAATGAAGTGAGTTAGGGGAAGTCTCTTTGCTACAAACTTTCAAAGCAACTTGGCCATGTGGAAACTCAGTAAAACGTTGCATTCGGCCATCCAATCACATCCGTCTTTTACTTCCTGTCAGAGGGCACGCACACACACGCGCCTGGCGTCATTACGCATTTCCTGTTCTCTTCGAAGAGTCCCCCCTTCTCTTCACCGTCGCGCCGTGAAGTGGATGTTTTGGTGAGAAAATACGGTGTCGAAAAGGGACGTAAATACCTTCAAAACATGACATTTCGACCCACGGGGACCTAAAGCGGCAAAAGCACGGAGAAGAGGAGCGTCTTCGGACACTGTTTCGGTTTATCTTTGTATCGTATTCCTCCGCATGTCCGCTTTCCTCATAGATGGTCTCCGGCGAGCGTTGTCTGGCGGCGGACGACGAGTTGTCGAAGAATAATATGAAGGAGATGATCGGCGGTTGCTGTGTTTGCTCTGATGAGAGGGGGTGGGCGGAAAACCCGCTTGTGTACTGCGACGGACACGGCTGCAACGTCGCCGTGCATCAAGGTAAGCTGGTGCCGTGAGCTCGGCTAGGAGCTAGCAGTTAGCTCACAGGCTAGTTAGCGTAGTGTTGTTGCAAGGTTATGGGGCGCTCCGTATGCAGCCTCCTCCGCCTGCCCTCACCAAGGCCAGGCTGAGGTCAGGCTCTGCTCGCACTGCAGCGATGTCCACCGCTTTGGCTCGGCGGCTGTCTTAATGCCTGTTTTAATCCGCTGTAGACGTGCTCATTTTGTCCGTATTCCTCTCGGAAGTTGTCATGTGGGATTCAGAGGAAGAAGGAGGGTCATCCTCACGTCTGAAAGGTGTAAACTTCGCGGGAAGCTCGCATCGATTTGTGTAAAATCCGGATTAATTTACTGAATAATATTACAAACTGCATTGGATATGAAGAGACACTTATTAGACACTGCTTTTTGGGTCGGGAGTACAGGATTTGGATAAGTTGAGGCCACTAAACGATGATCTCTAGAGCTTCTAGTATTGTGGCAGTGATGCATTGCTCACCCGAAATGACTCTGATGACGTCCCGTGTTTACAAAGTTAACAGCTGGCCATGTGACAATTTGCCAACGCAGGGGGATACAGTAAAAGTATTTGAAATGTCAGCAATGTATTCACACTTGTACCACAGGTTGTTTCGTAACAAGTAGTTCTGACAGGAGCATGTCTGTAAACCAGCTGTTACATATTTTAGAAACTCGGATCTAGTCAGATGTTACATTTATCTGACCCAGGTTAAAAACAAAGTTTGTCTTTGCTGGTCTTAAGCAGTGGTGGAAGAAGTACTTAGATATTTAACTTGAGTGAAAGTAGCAACATCAACATATTTCAGAATAATGTATATTATAGCACTGGATTATAATTACTGATGTATTATTGTGTACTAGGGATGGAACCATACACCAATTCATGGTTTTCAATTCAAGTGGACGTAGTTCACTGTGTCGTCGCACGTTGATTTGTAAACTGTCGCTTTTAAGCCTCGAGTTCGGCAAATTGGCCACCGCCATCTTGGTTTTTATCTGTCGCCATCTTGGTTTTTTGCAACCAGAAGTGACACGAACGAGTGGAACTTTAAACAACTGACCGCTGGATGATAATTTGTAGGCAACCAAAATGTTAGTTAACTTCCGTAAATTGAAAACAAACTATGTAATGGTTAAAGGTCTTAAACACGGACAACTCCCAGCCAGGACGACGCTGTGGTCCTGTCAATCACAAGGAAGCCTCACCCTTAAGCGTACCCAGTTTTATTGTCTATTTCACGCCAACTGGGATCTTAATGTACGAAATAAACATCATGCTATATTGAAGAAGACTTGAAACAAGCAATTGAGACCGTAAACTCATGTTTACTGAGTTAATAAATCAAGTGAAAAGCAGGTTAATTTTCTTGCTCGACTCAAGTCTGCAGAGCCCTGAAGCCCCGCCTCCTCTGTGGCACGGAGAGCTGTTCACTTGTTTATTCAACATTTATTGATATTGCACCAATTGTACACATCCTTGGGTCTCCAGCAATACAAAGTGTGAAGTAGATCGAATGAATGTTTCTCGAGATATGCGAAGGGCACACACACACACGTACGGAGATGGAGATTCCTTGATTTACAGTTAGATGATGTCGCTACAGCCAAATTGCACTAAATTTGTGACACCCAGACAGCTTATGCACACACGTCTACCAAATGTGGTTGCAACTGTGTAAAGCGTTCAGGAGATATTGTTTTTTTTTGTAATATAAGTCCTTCACAAAGCATTTGAGCAACGATTGCCCAACATTTGTTGGAGTAGCAGCAAAGAAACAGATCTAGACACAATTCAAAAAAACCAATCTATATGCAAATGGATAAGGGCTATATGAATAGATTCTTATGCCGTGTTCACACCAATGATCGGGGACTATTTGTGTTCATTCGCGTGAATCGCGCTGGATGCGCCTGATAGGGGGCGTGGCTTATCACCCCAAAAGCCGCTCAACTGTCCGCCATTAACCATGGAAAAAATAACCTATTTCTGCTTAGTACGTGTTGTGGAAGTCCCAGATATCACGGGAAACTAAACGCTGTCATGTCTGGGTTCATAACATAGTCCAGAGGAGCTCCGTGGATTTTATCGAGCTGTATTCACTGTGTCTAGCAAGCCACAGGTCGGCTGGTTTACTACAGCTGTATGAACACAAAATAAACTGATTTAACGGCAATAAACCGACAAAAAGGGACTCCGAAATAACTACGTAATGATGCCAATTTGTAAAAAGTCTCAATTAATTTTTTGTTAGTTCTCTCCACAAGACGACAATTTCTTAAATACTTGTTTTCTCAATGGAGCTCGGATCGATCGGTGCTAGGCTATGCTAACATTGTAGCAGCTCCATCAACACTCAGAATAACGTCATCTAGACGTAAATACGACGGCGTCTTTTTCATCGTTTGTACCATATGGTTGACACACACACATTTATACACATAGTTTGGTCCGGTCTCTCTTGATATGAGAGCTCTGGGTGAACACAGACGGCTACAGTATTTGTTTCCTGATTCAACAACGGCAGGACGTCAGCGATGACAGGAGAAACATCTCAACGCTGATAGGCCTTGATATGTTACTCTAGTTTTTCGCTGAAATTTAAAAATTTCAACTCGCGTGTTTTGGTGTTTGACAAACGCGCCACGCCATCGCAAATTCGTGTCATTCCAGTCTCATCGCGTCTGTGCATAGACTGTATGTAATCTACTCGCGCGAATAATTCGCGACACGTTTGGTGTGAACGCACCTTTAGAGCGTCTGTGGCTCAGTGGTAGACCGGGTCATCCTTCACTCAGAGGATTGGCGGTTTGATTCCGGGCTCCGCTAGTCCATGTTGATGTGTCCTTGGGCAACCCCAAATTTCTCCCAAATGCTGTGCTTTTGGTGTATGAATGGTTAGATAGTCCTGATGGGCCCCTGCCATGGGTATGAATGGGTGAAGGATATGTAGTGTTAAAGCGCTCCGAGTGGTTGGAAGACTAGAAAAGTGCTCTACAAGTACAAGTCTGTTTACCTTTTACCATCCGTCTGGACCCACATCATTTTTGTTTTTGAGACTTCGGGTTCAAGAGTTACAGGCCAAAATGTAAAGTTTGTTATAGCGCCACCATCTGTCCTAATTGCACCACATTTGACAAAGCCCTTGGGTCCCCAGCAATACACACACCAAGTGTGAAGTAGATTGAGCAAAGGATTCTCGAGATATGCAAATACAGACAGACCGACAGATGACAGTTGAACTCCTTGCCACAACATTAGGGTGCGTTGCCGCTATAACTGCAATAGATGGGCTTGGAAATGTGCTTGTGTGTAACGCCAGACTGATGTGGACCCTCGATTGTTGAATGAATGGAGTTGCGTGTGCAGTACATGTTCACAGCTGTCCACGGAACTCAGAAAGTATGTCAGAGTTTGAGTCTGATTGGAAAATCGCTTATTCCTCCTCTGGTGAATTACTGTAAGCAGACGAGCTGTACTGTGTTTGTGAAGAATAGTCAGCGCTGTCTTTTCATGCGTTACCTTGTAGAGAGCTGCCCCTGAACCACAGTCATGACAGCGTCTGTTTAAATGAAACACGTTTGTCAGAAATGATTAATTCGCAACATTCAACAATATCAAATGAGTTTCTAAATTTCAGCCATCAGCAGACATTAATCAGTTCGAGCACTTTTTCCAAATTTGAATAATTTAGATATCTGTCAAAACAACTTTGTTTAATCCAGAGATGCATCTAAACAGAGCCAGGCGAGACTGAGTATCACAATATACACTATAACTATGTACACGATTTACTAATGTTAGGAGAGTATTTGGAAGAAAGTATACTGTACATTAATTTGTAATATTGCATTGCAATGAACACAGAAAGTAATGCAAGACATTAGTCAATATACTGTTGAGAATCCTCAACTTCCATCGTGAAATTATTATCATTTTAAATACAATAAATTTCTTCCCACAACATAGTCAAAAAATATTTTTGATGTAATTCATAGCATTTAAATAAAATCAATGTTCTATGGCCCCTCCAAAATCTCTTAACATTGTGTCAAATTTATTGCTCTTGTGTTTGAGGTCTCCTCTAAATCTTAGAGAAAAGTTCAGATAGCATAAAAGCATTTCCATACTCTACGTGCGATTGGTTAGGATGGCACGTTTTTAAGTGAGCCAGCCATAATTATTAAAAAGTGTGCACTGTGTGCAGAATATCCTATCCAACTGGTCCTTGTTTTGTCTGGTCACCAGGTACCTCACCTTTGGGTGTTTTGTTCTGAGAAACCTGGATTATAGCCGTTTATTCTATTGGATTATGGGCTCTGGTCTGATCAGAGATAATCTGAAAATGTGTAGAGGTAGGCTATTTAGGGTAGTGCTGCTGTATTTCGGGTAGCACCGTCTGTACTGCAACTTTAAATCTGAGCATCCGTGAAACTAGGTTATACCTCAAGGTGAAAGAACTCGGTGTGGTTTTGACGTTGCAGTCCGTCTTGGCAATTTTATTGTTCGCTAATGCGTTGTCAAAATATTAAGATTTGACAAGAACGTATGAAAGTGTCCTCTCTGACCCTGTTCATGTAGCATCCACACAGCAGTGAGTACAATACAAAGTTACTTCTACCTGTCATATTTTGAGTATTTGGTATCGTTTAATCTCTAAAATACAACCTTTCTTTTGACTTTTTTTATAGAAATGTGTGGAGGAGGTCAAGTAGAGTGGGCTGTTTAAATGCAGCCTCTTGGCAACATTAACGTAAAGCAAACAGTTATCATTGATGCCTATATGTGTCGACATTAACAATGCATTACCAGTTATTCTCCCTTTGTCCCCTCGGGCTTAAAATATTTTGTAGTGCAGGCAAACTGTCAGCTGTCAGTAGAGCGATATATAAAAACAACAGCAGTGTGTTCAACAATCTGTCAATCTGTCACACTGTTTAGTTCTGCATTCAAACCAGTTTAGTCTCGAGTTTACCTTCTGGCACTGGCGTGGAGATTGTGCGATATTGTAAAGATTTTTATCGAGTGCAGTCAGATCTGGTGTGGTTTCATTATCCCTGTGTGATTGTATTCTGTGGTATCAAATGTAGTCTTTTGTTGAGGTTGTGATGACTTACTCAAACGTCCCCCCTCCGTTTCTCCTCAGCCTGCTATGGCATCGTGCAGGTGCCCACTGGTCCGTGGTTCTGCAGAAAGTGTGAATCTCAGGAGAGAGCGGCCCGTGTGGTGAGTCACAGAATCTATCTATCCATTCATCATTTATGAGTAAACTCCTGGAATAACAGGACTGTCTGTCGGAGATGGTGGACCTCGTGCTCCCGCGCAGCGCTATCATTTATAAATGTGCCGAGAAAGTAGGTTGGGTCTTGAATCATCGGCGAGTCTGTTCAAAGGGCTTGGTACAAAGCTCCTAAAATAACAATACAGTGCATCTCGAAGGCACCGTTTGTACTATTTCATCTCAATGGGTAGCCAATATCATATCTTGTGCTGCTGAGAACATTTCTTTGAGAACGTTCTGAGTGCGAGTCGTCCACTGTTTCTGAATATTTCGGTCATGTGAGTAAATGCAAAGCGAGGGAGGGGGAGGGGGGGGGGGGTCACTGTTAAATTTGATGACCAGAACCTCTTTTTCTACCATTGTTTTGCACTACAGTTACCGTTTAGCTATGGAAAATCCCATGTCATGTTGTTCAAGATCATTTCAATGGACTGCTGGGTGAAAGGAAATCTATTTCTCTACAAATCTGAATGAAAATGCTGAACATGCAGCAGTGTTTTGGGGGCACTTTTGTTTGTGTTCTATTTGACAGAACTATTTATGGTTATTTTAATATATAACAAACTAAAATTAGTTCAGATGTACTGGAAGCTGGCCGTTACATTTGACTAAATTAACTATATTTAGTATGATATGTAAAAATGCCACAGCATTTGTTCTGATGGGTCTAACGTAGAGCTGTCCTCGACCAAATCAATTCTTAGGCTAAACCCACGCATATCTTTTGCTACGTTTTATGCCTGACGCCACGCTAGTTTGAAAGGTCCGGGGTTGTGTTGTCGTGTGGAAAGGCAGAAACTGAGACCTTTTTGAAAACGAGGACCTAGACCCCCGTGTTTGCTGCTTGATTGGGTCTTCGCAGTCATGACGTGTCCTTCCCTGATTCTTATTCTTATTATTAGAGCCCAGCGGCATTATCAGCCCTGTGGAGTGGATGTTTGAAGTCATGGTTTGCGGTTTTGAGGAGGGACGATGGACACACAACTTTCCTGTTCTCATCAATGCTTAATTTGTTCTGCAAAACTATTGTGAAGTTCACAAAGAAACTGTAAACGAACAAAAGCATAAATGCTCTCCAGTGAGACAGGGACTTTCAGCCACCCGGCCGAGCTATGAGTGCGAGAACAGACAATGAAACCAAGGGGAAATGAGTGAGAGACGTGTGTTGACCAAATTCCTTTACCCATGATCTAGTAACTTTGATTAATAAGTGCATTTTTGGTGAGAGAGAGACCTGCGGCCTTGTAACTAAGTTTGACAAAATATAACGTGTGTGTGTGTGTGTGTGTGTGTGTGTGTGTGTGTGTGTGTGTGTG